CACTGGGACCCTTGGCGTTAGAGAATGGCCCGGCCGGGTACGGGTAGGGTACGGGTATTGGGTACCTGATTGCGACCTCTGGGATGAAGCCATGTTGCAGGCGCGGATGGGTTGATTCTAGGAACTTGAATTGTGAGAAGAGACAAGACGTTGGGAAATGAGTGACAAACGGTGACTCACCAGTGACTCACGGTCTACCCGTACCCGTACCCGGCCGTACCAGGGCCGCAAACGGGTACCCGTACCCGGCCGGGTACGGGTAGCCGGGTATCGGGTAGGGTACGGGTATCGGGTACCCGGTTGTGACCTCTGCCCCCGGGTCTTCTGTGCTCACCATCTCATCTGGACACAGCGATGACATTTTACAACCCGCCAATTCATCCGAAGACAATTTGCATATGCCTCACCTTGGGTTTACAGTGTCAAACATCTGTCATGAGACCGATGGATGTGGTCCTATTGCCAACAAATATTTATTGTTTTATTTATTGGTGTGGGCCAGTGGCAACCTGTACCGTTACAACAATAAACGGAACGATAAAATGTAAGCAGTTAATCCTTTAACACCGACTAAGATGCAAATCACATTTCCCCTTTGTTTGTCACTTTTCAAGGTCACGGGAATAAGAAAATGGTAAATGATTGTTCACGTTTGTATCCTGCTACTGACCTGGCAGTCAGGCCAGTGGGGAGCGGTGTGCGTAGCCGTCAGCGCTGCGCTACGAACCCGACGACCCGAGTTCGATTCCCGCACGCGGCCACCAACACCGGTGACGATGATCTGAACCGGTCCTGGGCCTCCCCCTAGGGCGACTCAGCCTCAAATGAGTACCCGATGTGGTGTGTAAAAAGCATCGCCACTGGGGAGACAAAGGCGGACGAGCGTGGTGCTGGCCCACCCACCCCACGTCGTGTGCCGTGTCGCCCTTCGTAGGTGCTCGCTCAACAGCACTTGCCCCAACAGTCTGTGCAGGCTACACGGGGGATCTTTGTCTTTATTACCCACGACCTCATTTCACACGGGACCTCGGCCACATCAGGGCGACCACTTGGAATGACCCGCAAACGTTATGACTATTATCTTTCTGCCACTGCTATAGTCCTCCTAGCCATGCTAATCGGGTGCTAGAGGGCGGGGAATTCTTTGACCTGGTTAACACTGTTGTTTTGTCATTCTTGCGCCATCAACCACTCCAACAAATGTTTCGGTTAACCCAAAACTTAGGTGAACGCATCACGGTTCAAAACTAGACTTTAATGGTTCGGTTCTGGTTCACTTTTTTTAAGCAGTTTTAACAGGTTAAACTTACGTAAAAGAGTTCGTGCATACCCAGATAATGACATTACCCAATACAGTACATAGTACCAGTGAATATAATTACACAATGCAGTATACAATACTCAGTTCATGCAGTACATACCTACTTAATGGCATGACATAATGCAGTACATAGTACCAGTTAATATTATTACACAATTCAGTAGACAATGCCCAGTTACTGCAGTACACAGCGCAGTACGTACACAATATTAAAGCAATGCAGTATACAATGCAATACACAAACCCCCGGTTAGCGGAGTATGTAGTCTACAGTGACGATTATTTATGTTGAACTTCTTTCGCACCCTACGTAGCCAACCGTGCTAATCGCAGGTGCAGAGTGGCGGCCAAGGGATGAGAACCCGTCCTCCGGGTGGGACGTCCATCGAGGAGATGCGATCGAGCAACGATAGCTGCTGGCGAGAGGGCGCTGGGTGGATTAGAGTTCATTTACAGGACCGTCGGTGGTGGCTGCAGCGTTGGGCAGGCCTTCATCCAACAGTGGGTTGACTATGGTCGAGGATGTTTTTGGCCAGAGGTAAAGTGATTGTCAACGTGGCGGTGATCGTGCGTCTACGTTTCAGTGTGTTAGTAATGTGATTTGTCAGTGTGTTGGTAATTGTCACGTGATGTGTTGTCAGTGTGGTGGTGGTGGTGGTTATGGCTGTGAGGTGGTCATCATCTATTTGGGGTGCCACGTGGTGGCGAGATGTTAACTACCTCGCCTGGTATGCAGGAGGTCGTGGGTTCGATCCCGATCCTGATCCCGATCCCGATCTCGACCCTGACACCTGTATATTTGGAAATTGTAAATCTCTCTCCCCGTGGTCACGTGGATTTTTCTCCGGGTTCTCCGGTTTTTTTCCTCCACATTTAGAAACGTACGTTTCGAGTATTTGGCTGCAATAAATTTCCACATCATAAGCCACTTCTTGGAGTTATCGTGTGTGGCCAGGTCGCTTCTGAAAAACCGCCACTTTTTTCAAATTTTCTTGCTGTGGATTTCACACCTGATGATGATTGCTTGTGTTGCAGTCGAAACGTCGTGAGAATTTTATTGTTTTATATTTTTATTATGTTATTTCCCTTCTACGTGACTTAACCAAAAGAACCAAGAATATGAATCCCTGTAGTCACGAAAGCTTTAAATCAAAACATAATTTATAGTTTTAAATAGTTCATCGTTTCATCCCACGGTGGATTTACGAAGGCCGAGGATTTTACCGGTAAGTCAATGATGTTTCGGGCTCGAGGTAGAACTAACACTGCACTTGTGGTATCTCCTATTGCAGGCAAGCCAACTCGTGACATATGACCTCGCTGCGTGAGTTCATCCACTCACTCCAAGCTGCCCTTTGCTGCTCATGCTGTTGATGCGACTGCTGTTGTTGCTGATGCTGTCGCCAATCTGTCCTCTATTTCTCTCGTCCTTGCGTTGTGTATACTCCACCGCACTGATCGTGCGATATAATCAGCCACCTGTTCATGCCCCATCCCTTCATGGAGAAATCAATCACAGCTCATGCCGGACAGGACAATTGGAGGCGGCGCACGCACCTCCTGCCACATTCAAAGTTCATAAGCCTCAGCTCGTAGGCAGTGGTTGTTTAATTGGCCCACAGTAAGCCTCAGTCAGTCTTTGACTGCGTAACGGTCAACACCATCATCATCTCAATTCTGCCGGTGGTGATGAGCATAGTCCCATCAGTGTGGCAGTGGTTAGCGCTCCGTGCTATGAACCTGAGAGATTCCCAGGCATAAGTGGCAAGTCACATCTGAACCAGTCATGGCCTCCCCCATCATTTAATTTTTAAAAATACAAAGATCCCCTGTATAGCCTGAACAGACTGTTGGGGCAAGTGCTGTTAGCGGCACACGAGGGGGTGGGTGGCCAACACTACGCTCGACCGCCTTCGTCTCCCCAGTGGTGATATTTACACACCACACCAGGTACCCATTTGAGGCTTAGTCGACCTAGGAAAGGCCCATGACCAGTTCAGATAATCGTCATTGGTGTTGACCGTGAGCAGGAATCGAACATGGGTGGCCGGGTGCATAGCGCAGCGCGCTATCTGATACACTACCGCTCCCACCAACACACACACACACTGACCAACCAGCGTGGTGAAGTATGGTCACACAATCCCATTTACACGTCATGCGGGGAAGGCCTTCATCCAGTCGTATATTGACAGAGGGCTGCAAACAATTATTAACTAAGAACAGCATTCCTGCTTGTTCTGTACATGTAACATGTAGCAAACATCTCGCGTAATCTAATTCCACTGCATCTACGCGTCGCTGAATTCCTGCATAACCAGGGCCCAGCGGCACGGGGATGTTTGGCCACCAAATTTTCTTCATCATTGTGCTCAGGACCGGCAAAATGCCCTGAATCTGGAGGGAGGGCGCGGTCAATGCTCTTCAGAAATCTGCGGATGATCCAGCAATAACCATCGTCCAATATCGCTTCTGCTCACAATCTTCAAAAACTTCCTGCGAAAAAAACTCGGTCCCATGATCTAATACCAGCCTCCTGAAGGAACCAGATGGGTTCATGCCACAAAAAAGTGTCTGCGATCGAGCCCTGACCCTTACGACGAAAATTGAAGCCGGATTTGAAAGGTAAAAAAAAAACTCAATGGAGGTGACTCATTCATCGATCTGTCTTCTAGCCCACGATGCGTTTTGAGAAGCAATGTCTCATGCTGCAGTTGGGCAGATTCCTGCCGTGCGCCGAACGCTATGGCTCATCTGTAACATGCCACGTGACTATGTAGCTCTTTTTCAGAAACCACCTGGCTCACCATAAATGATAGCTCAACGAAGTGGCTTATCACCGTGTGGACATTTATCGCGAGCCAAAATACTCTAAAGGCGCGACCTCGATTCTAAATGTGGAGGTGTAAAACCGGAGGACCCTGAGAAAAAAAACCACGCGAATAAAAACGGGGATTACCCAAAGGGGGCCCGTGCTCGAACTGATGCCGCTGTTCAACGCGAGCGATGTGCCCCCCCCCGGAAACATCGTCCCGCAAAAAATTGGTACGCGGACGACAAGGCCCTGTGGCCCTGGTGGCTACGCAAGCCCCCGCAGCCTCTCCAGCGGTGGTGGCGGTCACTACCAACTCCGCACCCCAAAAATAAATCGATTGCCTCGGTTCGTCTCGTCTCGACGGCGCCCACGTAACACGCACTCGACGTTTACCTTCTGCGGCGAAATGGTGGAGACGCGCAACGGCTGACTATTAAAATAAAAAAAGACCTGCTCCATTGCTTTGTCAAGTGCCGTACGACAAAGGGGATTTTTTTTCCTCTTTATTGCGATGAAGACCAGGAAGTGCGCCGCTTCAAAGGCTCGCGACGAGAAGCGTTTGTGTGGGAAAAACCCCTCGTTTAACGTTCTTTCCTTGAACCCGGGGTTTGTAGCCCAATCAAGATCCAGCCAGGCACGGCTCTCAGCTCTTTGCTCATTGTTTTCCCCACTCCCCGCTTCCACCGAGGGTCAGGTTTGTATTCGCCCGAGGGAAGTTGTATTTTTGAACAGAACACTCACGTGTATTTCTTTATTGCTGGGAGTAAAGCGACTCCAAATCAGAGCAATCGTCTCCCACCGCCCCCACGTCACCTCTCTCGTGTCTCACCACCATGCCCCTCAACCAGCGCCCCTCGGGTTTATAAGGAGGCTGAGCTGCATCGGGGCATCTCACAAGACAGCTGAAGTTGAACGCTGAACGACGATCTCCTGCAACCAACGACTGCCCACATGGACAAAGGCTTCAACTCCTCGGCTATGGAAGCTCCTCCGGTGAGTAGTCACTGGAACGCTCTTCCTTCCGGTATTTGGAATCCGCTGGAGCTATGCTCTTTTAAATCATCGAGATTGAAAACTAATTTCTGTAGAACTGCTATCATGCATGTTGTTCGTTGTCCCCCACCGCAACCTCTGATTAGCACGGTCGGCTACGTACGGTGCGAAATAAGTTCAACATACATACACACATACTCACGAGTTCGACTCTAACCCAGACCACCACGGTGTCTGCACATCCAACACAAATCTCCTCTCCATTCTCCTCCTCCTCCTCCTCTTGATGTCTGGGTGGCTTGGGGGGCAGTGAGCAGAGTGCCGACTGCTGAACTGGCACCACTGAGAAGCTGGGTTTGAATCCAGGTTTCAGCCACCTGTGATGAAACCGGGGTCTCATGTGCAGCAGTGGGTTGACGGTCTCAGTTCAGTCGCCAAATGACACGCAAAAACTAAACGACGTTCATTCTAGATTTGAAGTTTTCGTGACTGCAAGGATCCATACTGTTTGGTTCTTTCGGTAAAGTCACGTCGGTGAAAATAAAAGAATAAAAAAATAGAAATAACTACATTTAGTTAATAACTAAATTTAGTTATTTATATTTTTAATTAAATAAAAAAATAGAAAAAAATAGAAATAACTAAATTTAGTTATTTTTATATTTTTATTATTTTATTCTTATTTTTTCTTTTTTCACCTACGTGACTTTACCAACAGAACCAAAGAGTATAAACTACGTTCAATTTGGTTCTGCGCTTCATTTGACTACATTTCAGATTTTAGATTTCAAAATATCGGGGTTCGCATTTCATGCGAGAGACATTCCTCCCCATGGCAGAGCGAGTGGGAAGGCGCAAACGCCCCTCGTGTGAGGACCAGAGGCCAATCACTTGAAGGAACCTCAGATGTAGCTCTGTGGTATCCACACTTCAGAGGACCAGATCCCGAACACGAATGTTTCCCTTACACAAATGGGTGCATTGCTCTGTGAGCTGCCGATTGCACAATCGGGATACAATTGAGGTGGGGAAGAATATTCAAGTAAATTAACACAGTCGCAACTGTGCTAAGTGTATCTTTGTCCTGTGCTGTGTCAGCATGGTTGGTGATGTTGACCGTGTTGTTTCATTGGGGTGCCACGGTGGCGAGATGTTAACTATCTCGCCTGGTATGCAGGAGGCCGTGGGTTCACTCCCGACTCTGACGCCTGTATATGTGGAGTTTGCGTGTCTCTCTCTCTCCCCATGGTCGAGTGGATTTTTGTCCGGGTCCTCTGGTTTTCTATTTGTCTCGCAATAGATTACCACGTGATAAGCCACTTCTTTGAGATATTATTTGTGACCAAGTCGCTTCTGAAAAAAAAGCTTTACAGCTCAGTGGGCCTTACCTGGAAAAATAATTTTTTGTTGTTTAGTTTTCATAAATAAAATAAATGATATGTGCTGTGTTAGCGTCGTGATGGTGATCCTGTCTGTTGTGTCAGTATGATTTGTGGTTGTGTCACGCGCCGTGTCTGTATTTGTCTCAGGCGTACCCGGTCCAGTCCAGGTTCAGCCGCAAGTTCATCATCGTCTGCGCGTCGCTGCTGGTGCTGCTGATCGCGGTGGTGGTGGCCGGCGTCTTGCTGGGAGTCTTCATCGGTGGCAAGAACGCGACCGAGGTGCGTGTGTTCGTTTGTTCGTTTGTGTTTGTGTGTTTGTTTTTGTTTGTACGCGTGTTCGTGTGTTCGTTCCTGTGTGACGATTACCTGAACCAGTCACGAGCCTTCCCCTAGGTCGGCTCAGCCTCAAATGAGTACCTGGTGCGGTGTGTAGTAAACATCACCACTGGGGAGACAAAAGCGGCCGGGCGTGGTGTTGGCCACCCACCCCCTCGTGTGCCGTGCCGGCCTTCACAGGTGCTTGCTAACAGCACTTGCCCCGAAAAGGGGAATCTTTATCATTTTATTTGGGGAGCGGTAGTGCAGCGGTGAGTGCGCTGTGTTACGAACCCGTCTTTCCTGAGTTCGATTCCCACTCACGACAGTGACAATTATCTGAACCGGTCCTGGCCCTTCCCGAGGTCGACTCAGCCTCAAATAAGTACCTGGTGCGGTGTGTAATCATCGCCACTTGGGAGACAAAGGCAGCCAAGGATGGTGCTGGGCCTTAATGGGTGCTCGCTAACAGCACTTGCCCCAAAAGGCTGTTAAGGCTACACGGGGGATCTTTGTCTTTGCGTGGAGAGTAGCTCTACCAGCTGTCCGTGGGGGATAAGGACGGCAACGTTGAGGAGCAGACGGTGCAGGTGAACCCCCAGGAGAACGTTGCCACCTTCTACATCCAGAACGGCAACGTCTCCTCCACCACGCTCCTCGACTATGCCAAGGCGAGTCCATCACGCAGCAGCAGCTGCAGCAACAACATCATCTCGTTCACCTCCAGCAACCAACACCGCAAACAACCTCAGACATCATCTCCACCGACACCTCCGACACGAACTCGTTCACCGCCTCCACCGACCCCAGCGCGCAGCGACGATGTCTCGCCGACACTCCCCATGCAAACCGCACGTCCTTTACTCTGCACCGCGAACATCACCACCGCCGCTGCCTACTTTGATATTCAAAAAACTAGAACCCATAAAACTAAACCAGGTAAGGCCCAACGAGCTCTGGAGCTCTTTTTTTGTTAATCAGAAGCGACCTGGCCACAAATGGTAGCCCAACGAAGTGGCCAATCGTTATCGTGTGGAAATTTATAGCAGCCAAATTAGACGAAACGCGTGATGTTGATTCCAAATGTGGAGGGAAAAACCAGAGGACCTGGAGAAAAATCCACGCCACCAGGGGGAGAGAGAACATGCAAAACTCCAAATATACAGCAGCAGGCGTCAGGGTCGGGATCGAACCAACGACCTCCTGTATACCAGGCGAGGTAGTTAACATCTCACGATCTGTGGCAGAAAATCACAACTGTGCTCCAAACAAAATGCACCCTCGAATCAATGTGCGCTGATGCCTACTTTATTGAGGGCAATGTTGGCACGTAAATTAAAGATTGATTTCTAGAAAAAATATGATGTGAATGGCCATGGTGATATAGTAATAGGTTTTTACCCTTTCAACTGGTACAAAAGCTGACACCTTTATACAAGGCATCATGTTTGCAATAACCACAACACAAGCAGTCAAAATTCAAACAAAAAGAAAACAACTCTGTTGTTCAGAGTTGCAAACAAAAAGAAAACAACTCTGTTGTTCAGAGTTGCAAACAAAAAGAAAACAACTCTGTTGTTCAGAGTTGCAAACAAAAGAAAACAACTCTGTTGTTCAGAGTTGTTTTCTTTTTGTTTGCATTTTGACTGCTTGTGTTGTGGTTATTGCAAACATGTTGCCTTGTATAAAGGTGTCAGCTTTTGCACCAGTTGAAAGGGTAAAAACCTATTACTATATTTTGCCACTGGTAAAGGAGATGTCTCATAGGTCATGGTGACGTTGACGATGTTGACGATGGGGATAATACTGATGATGAGTGTGATGTTGGTGATGATGATGATGATGTCGACGGTGATGTTGACGTTGTATAGAACCTCGTGGTGATGAGAACGAACGAACCGGGCGAGTGCTTCGTGCGGGAAATTGGCGCCGGGGATTTCCCGTCGTTCTCCGAGCTGAGAGACAGCCTCAAGAATCTCAACGTGAGCCCAACAACACGATCCAACACGAACACCACAACAACAACAAACACCACAACAACAACAAGCACTAAGTGGCAGTGATGCCACCACAGCGCTCATGCCAGGCCAGGTGCACTTCAAGGCCGGAGATGAGATGAACAACACAACCACCGGGACGACCACTAACTCCGGCACCCACCGCCGACATCACAAATTCACTCACCACCACACTGTTGACTACGCACCATAGCAATACTCACTATGTACACACTGCTCACCACGTAACCCTCTCTGTCACCCTGCCACCGCAGCATACCTCTCACCACTCACCCTGTTCATCCCTCCTGTCCTCTCTATCTTAACAGGCGCAAAGATCCCCCGTGTAGCCTTAACAGACTGTTGGCTAAAGTGCTGTTAGCGAGCACCTATGAAGGCCGGCACGGCACACGAGGGGATGGGTGACCAGCACCACGCCCGGCCGCCTTTGTCTCCCTAGTAGCGATGTTTACGCACCGCACCAGCTACTCATCTGAGGCTGAGTAGACCTACGGGGTGGTCCACGACCGGTTCAAATAACCGGTCACTGGTGTTGGCCGTGACAACGGGAATCGAACTCGGGTCATCTCGGGTTCGTAGAGCAGCGTGCTGACCGCTGCACTGCCGCTCACAACCTGGCTTAATACCAGACTCCTCACTCACTCACTCCTCACTCACTCGTGCACAGAGAGCCCCAAGTGACGCCACCCGGCCCAACCCTTGATCTCCCCGGGGTTCCACCTCAATTCCATTACCTCTGATCCAGACGGCGCGGTCACACATCGTCCGCTCTGTCGCAATCTCCCCCTCCCCCTCTGCCCGCGTTTTTCCCTCTGTCCCTCTGCGTCTATCAACGTTCTCTGTCTGCGTCGCTACCTGTAACGCGACCTGTCTGTCTGTCTACATGACTCAGAATCATCATGATATGTCAATCTCAATTTTGGAGCTTTCGTAACTGCAGGAATAATTCTTTGGTTCTTTCGGTTAAGTCACGTATAAAGATAAAATAATAAATTAAATAATAGCATACTAGACGTTTCGATTGCAACACAAGCAATCATCATCCGGTATAAAAGAAATAGCAACACAAATCTAACCAGAAAACTATAGACAGACACACAAGCAGACAGACATCACACAGACACACAGAGAGAGAACACGTATCGGCAGAAAGATATGCACTGGAGAAATCAGATGAGCTATAAAGCTTTTTTTCACGGATGTCCAGTTGGGGCGCGTGAGAACGGTAACAACAACAAACAATGCAACGAAGCGATGTCAGTGCAAAATATAGGAAAGGTAAATAAATCACTTCCAAATGTATACGCGTAAGATTAAACTATTTTATCTTACCAGGTAGGGCCCACTGAGCTATGAGCATCTTTTTTCAGAAGTGACCTGGCCACAAATTATAGTTCAACGAAGCGGCTCATCGTGTGGATGTGTATAGCAGCAAAATAATCTAAATAATTTAAACGCGATACGTACTGTTATGTTTCGCAATTTGTCTATGTCTTCATGACTCCCTGTCTGTCTGCCTGCCTCTCTGTCCCTCTGTCCCTCTGTCTCCATTTGTCTCTCTCTCGCTCTCTCTCTGCCTCTCTTAATCTCGTTTGGTCCTCTCTTATTGCCTCTCCATCTCTGTGCATCTGTCCCTCCATTTCCTCATTTATCTATCGTCCTCGGTCATTTGACTCCAGCTGTGTGTTTTTTTTTAAAGTGAGACAGAGTGAGACTGCGTTGTTTCTCCAAACAATGTGGCAGTTGGGATTCAGTGCGCACGAGGCAGACACGGGTCATCCTCTAGATGAGCCCCTAAACAAATTAGAATTAAAGTAAAAAAAATCTCCACGCATTTCGCTGAGAGTGGAAATCGTTGGGGAGTGCTTCGTGTGCCAGTGGACAGAGGAGGCCAGGACCTTGTCAGTGTGAGGAGTTCCCTCCAGTGGCGCTAGCGTGGCTGGCAAGGGACACGGTTCAAGGAATGAAAAAAAATTAACCCGTTTTTCACTCTAAATCCTTTATATGCGTGGCGGCTAGAGTCCTCTCGTCCTCTGGCTTGAGATGGCTGCCACCTATGGGTCAGATGATTGTCTGCCAGCATTAAGCAATTGGCAATTAAATATTTTTAAAAATATCCCTAAAAAGTGTAAAATTTTGGGAAAAAATTTTCACGAAAATTAATTGTCACGCATAACGAGTCTGTGTGGAAAATGTCAGCTCGATTGGATCACGGGAAGTGGGTTAAAAAACGACCGAAAGATTTGCACGGTCGTAAGCAAGCAAGCAAGCACGCAAGCAAGCAGCAAGCGAACTTAATATAAAGGATTTAAAAGAGGTCGTTGAATCCTGTCCACCTCTTGTAGCGGGCGTGGTAGAGCGGAGGAATCAGAACGTTGGCAGATGACATCGCTGGTGGTGGTGGTGGTGGTGCTGGTAGCGTAGTTTCTTGTCCTTCCCCTGCATCTCCGATTAGCACGGTTGGCTGCGTACGGTGCGAAAGAAGCTCAACATACAAATGCATACACAGTGACAGTGGTGGTGATCATTATTGATGGTGGCGCTGTTTGTAGGGGTGTGAGCAGTGATAGTGGTGACATATTGATGGCCGTAGTGGTGGTAATAGTAATGTTGACAGTGATAGCGATGATGGTGATGATGGTGATGGTAATTGTGGCAATAGTTGCAGTGGTACTGCTGCTGGTGGTGAAGAGAATGGTCATGGTGGTGGTGACTGGGGTGACAGTTGTAGCGGTGATGATAATGGTGAAGGCATTGATCGTATTAGTTATGATAATTAACGCTGCTGATGATGGAGGTGGTGGTGGTTGTTGTGATAGTGACTGTGTGAATGATTGATGGTAGATATCGATGCTGATAGTATGGTGGTGATGATCATTAAAGACGATGAAAGTGCTGGTGGTTATTAACGATAACGATGATTATGTATGGTCAAGGTGACAGTACTGGTAGTAATCACGGTTGCGGTGTTGACTGATGAAAGTGGTGGTAGGTGGTATTAACGATAACGATGATTATGTATGGTCAAGGTGAATGGTACTGGTAGTAATCACAATTTTCGGTGTTGACTGAACTCACAGGGTCAGACGGTGCAGGCCAGCGGTGGCTCAGATGGCTCCTCGTTCATCCCCGGTGCTGAGATCTTCGACCGATCCCTGTTCAGCCGCAGCGCCAGCCTCCTCTGCCAGGACGTGAGATCGTTCTGGCTCGTCAAGGGCAGTGAGTACATCTCTGAGTGCACAAGCCAACACAGGACGACAGAGCTGAGTACGGACCTTGGCATGAGAACTCGGCGCTGACTAGAGAAGGATGCATGTCTAGGCTGTGCGGCGTTCGGGGTTTTTCTAGCACAACCATCACGTGACCTTCGGTCATCCTCGCAGCAGCGTTTGGCTAACCATCAAGCAAAGACGGTCACTGCATCGTGCACTTTCAGATGCACTTCTGCGACCATCTGGAATGCCCTTCCTTCCGATATTAGGGAGCCACTTGAAGTTATGCACTTTTAAATCTAAATTGAAAACTAATGTATTTCGAACTGCTTTTTGCGTTTAGTTTCCCCTCACCTTCCCATTAGCACGGTTGGCTACGAACGGTGCGAACGAGGTTCAACATACGATACAAGGCTGATGTTTACTTTTATGAAAAAAATACTTTACATTTATCTTCTGGTGAGGTGGTCAGGTAGCTCAGAGGTCAAAGCTCTGAGCTGGCATCGATCGCTGAGATCCTGGGTTTGGATTCAGTGTTAATGATCTCGTTTCGGCCACACAATCTGCATGATCTAATTGTCATGCTATGACCATTTCTCTCTGTAGCAGCCGCCTGAGATAACCAGGTGGTTCCTACCAGTATAAGCAAAGTAAGAACTGCAAACTCACATCTGTTTTGTTTCTTTCTCTCTCCTGTTACAGACCCCAACACCCGGGCAAAATGCTGGACGTGGAGGATCAAAATATTATGTATCTTCAAGAAATGTGTTACGATCAGGTTATGTGTTTTTTGGTCGCGTTAGGTTTTTGAGAGGCCCTTGTTGGTAAGGCCCTGCGTTAGGTTAATCAATATGGGTAGAACGAGTAGTCGGGTCACGGTGATTTATAATCTTAAACTACACGCGGGGTTTGTGCGCTTTTGCTCTCTGTTGGCTTTCACGTCACACTTGTCCAAAAATCACCCTTCCGAAACCCACCGGTTGGAAACTGTCATGAGGCCTCAAGTTTATTTAAAAAAAAGTTCAACATTTTATCTCCCCACCACCACCACCTCAACGTTCAGCTGCCCAAAACTGAACATTTTTCTTTTTGGATGGTTCCTGTTACAACTACAGTATATGTACATGTAGCTGGTCTGCCCTCTCCCCTCTTGAATCCTTTAGATTATGTATACACAGTACACATGTAGACTGTATAGAGTCGGCCGAATCACGGGGAATGCGCCCCAATATACATCAGATCGCAAGAAGACGCACGCGGTGATAGGAGCCTGAAGGGGGTTTGTTAAATCTGTTGGAAGGGTAAAAACAACAACTCAACAATAAACGGAGAGCGATAATGATGTCTCTCCACCACGGAAAGAGGTCTTCGACAAACCAAACGCATTCCGCACGGAGCCAGTGACCTCGAGGTCCGCGTGAGCGACACGGGACGTCGTTCATCCAATCACAGGCAGTTACGATCACAACACTCCGGTAAAACAACAACAGCAGCAACAACAAAAAAAAGATTTTCGTTTGGGGCCGTCCATAAATGACGTCACGCACCTAGGGGGGGGGGAGGTCAGACATTTGTGACGATGTGTGACGAGGGGGGGGGGGGGTTGAGAAATGTGACGTCACATCAAAATGCGCAACTTTAAATAAATATAGACAACACGTTCTACTTAATTAAATAGACCTTTTTAATACATATTTTCTCCTACAACATCAGAGTGCAGCGCCACATTAAATACGCACTACGATGACAATAGTTTAAAGCGATTTGAAGCATGTTTCATATTTTTTTGGGGGGGGGGCGGCAGAGCTTTGTGACGTCATATTTGAGGGGGGGTCTGGCTATGTGACGAGGGGGGGGGGGGGTCAAAAATCGTCCGAAATCGCGTGACGTCATTTATGGACGGCCCCTTTTCCACAAACGTGTAAACCGCATGAAACGGCGCCAGGAGTGACCGCTACAGAGAAGCAGCAGGCGTCCTTCATATTGTACGAATTCTCTTTTTGATTTTTTTTTTACAAAAAATAAAAAAAACGCTTCGCTATTATCTTTGTTCGTCGCACGCCCGAGTGTCGGAACAAAAAATAAAAACAATTATTTGACCAAACCGCACGTGCGCGTGGAAGTGACTCGTTTCGGCTCGCCGTTAGGGGCCATCCATTTAGTAGGTACATTTAGAAGGTACATTTAGAGGATATATTTAGTAGGTACATTTAGAAGGTACATTTAGAAGGTACATTTAGTAGGTATATTTAGAAGGTACATTTAATAAGTACATTTAGAAGGTACATTTAGAAGGTACATTTAGAAGGTACATTTAGTAAGTACGTAAAAAGATGTCATAACTTGACGCCTTCCCCCCTCAAAGTACACCCCCCTCCCCCACCTGCGTACGAATCCTATAGAACGGCCGATATTAAATCCACGCAGATTAAATATCGGTCCTAGCTTTACACACAGCTTTGTACAAACAGTTATTATACTTGACCGTGTTATCCATCCTGACTGGTTATTCAAAAACACGTCCATTATGATCTTAAAACACAAAACTCGGTGAACTAGCGTCGACTGGGCCGTCCATAAATGACGTCACGCACCTAGGGGGGGGTCGGTAAAAATCGTCAAAAATCGCGTGACGTCATTTATGGACGGCCCCTAACAGTAGCCCGATGTACCGGGCAGTGTTAGTGCTGAAGTTCGGGGGGCAGCAGCAGCAGCACGAACAGAGAGCACCGCGACAGCTAGCACCTTGAGCCAGCGGCAGACTTGCAGTGAGGCGAGATTTCAGGATGTGTAAACCATCTTTGGTGCGACAGGCCGCCACACGATGTCTGCAGCCTCGCTGCTGAGCTGCGTGACAGCTGCAGTCAGGGGCACGGTGGCACACGAGTGACACCTCTCCCACAGTCCCACTTCTCCTGGCAGGACTTGTTGTCTGACAGCTGAAAACACTGAACTGTGGCTCATTTGAAGGCCAATGTAGACAAATTAACACATTCCTCCTGCGGAGGGAGCTGGTAGGAACGTTGGGTTGCTCGGTCAATGGCCAGGGTCAACGGCGGCGTGGTGTATTCCGCAAATATGGCCGACTGTGAGGGCGGGCACAAGCCGGCGTGAGTAGGTTAAACGTTGAGTTTTATAAGGGCACCACGGGGTGACCAGCCCCTCCCCACCCAGCCCCACCCCTCCCACCCCCCACCCAGCCCCTCCCCACCCTCTCCTCTCCACCCAGCCCCACCCCTCCCATTTTTTGATGCAGGACGGACGGACACAATAATCCCCTGTGGGCTGGTGGAACCAGGTGGTTCCTACCAGTATTACCCCCCCCCCCCCGTTTCCTATGCGCACATTGTCAGTAGACCCCCCCCATGCACAAGCGAACGCATTTCAGTTAACCCCCTCCCCCTTCATGCGTACGTACTGAATGGATGTCCACTCAGTCGCAGGAACGCGATCCACACGCGCACAGGGCGTCTACAACAAGCCCGAGGGAGCGGTGGGTGCGATGGTTCGGGGGGCACCGCTGCGCTGCTGAACCCTCCACCACCTGAGTTCGATCGAGAGTTGTGGCGAGCGTCAGTGGCGAGCGGTGTGTGAACTCGGGCGAGAAGTGCCCCTTCACCCATGTGGTCACGTCAACCCCCCCCCCCCCCCCCCGGTGGCTGTAACAGCGTGGGGAAGGTCCTCATCCAGCAGAGGATTGACAAGGGGTGGGGGGCTGTAAACGAGAGCTGTGATCGATACAAATTAAGCGCAGAAGAAACTTTTCACGTTACCATGAAAGCTTGTTTAGAGCTAAATATGACCATTAACTCACCACTCACGACTACTGCTACGCCACACGACACAATTTAACTGCAGTCGGAGCGCCACGATGTTAACTACCTCGCCTGGTGTACATGAGGTCGTGGGTTCGATCCCGACCCTGACACCTGCTGTAGATTTGAAGTTTGCGTGTCTCTCTCTCTCATCATCATTAAGGTGGCTAGGAGATGCTAACTACCTCACCTGGTGTACAGGAGGTCGTGGGTTCGATCCCGACCCTGACACCTGCTGTAGATTTGAAGTTTGCGTGTCTCTCTCTCTCATCATCATTAAGGTGGCTAGGAGATGCTAACTACCTCACCTGGTGTACAGGAGGTCGTGGGTTCGATCCCGACCCTGACACCTGCTGTAGATTTGAAGTTTGCGTGTTCACTGTCCGTGTGGTCGCGTCCTCGGGGTTTCCCCTCCACATTTGTTTGTTGCGGTTGCACCCGATTCAAGAGCCGAATGGCTCACAGGGCTATTACCTAATAAATTAAACTGAAAAAAAAACTGAAAGAATCAACATTCGTTTAGGGTTTCGATTTAAAGCTTTCGTGACTGCAATAATAAAATAAAATATATTTTTATTACGTTTTATTTTTATTATTGTTGTATTATTTCCCTTCTACGTGACTTTACCGAAATAACCAAGAAGATTCGTTTGGGGTGTTATTTGCCTGCTTCTATACATTTCCACTTGATAAGCTAACTTTGTTGAGCCAGCATTTGTGGCCGGGTCGCTACTAATTAAAGAGCTGTATAGCTCAGTGTGCCTTACCCGGTAAATATAAAAAAAATAGTATCGATTTAAAGCTTTCGTGACTGCAGGGATTCATCGTTTAACCACAGCTGGGTCGCTGAAAGCCAGACGCGAACCGAGGCTCCCAGCGGTGCCGGCTTTGAGACCTGACCTCTGAGCCACCCGGCCACCTCTGATCAACGTCAATGTTAAAGGGGCTCACGATGCAGGCCAAACATTCCGTACCCCCCCTCCCCCCGTGTTTAACTGCCGAGTTGGTACAGTCCCATTGACCCCCCCACTCCCCCCGTGTTTAACTGCCGAGTTGGTACAGTCCCATTGCCCCCCCCCACTCCCCCCGTGTTTAACTGCCGAGTTGGTACAGTCCCATTGACCCCCCCACTCCCCCCGTGTTTGACTGCTGAGTTGGTACAGTCCCATTGACCCCCCCACTCCCCCCGTGTTTGACTGCCGAGTTGGTACAGTCCCAATGCCCCCCCCACTCCCCCCGTGTTTAACTGCCGAGTTGGTACAGTCCCATTGCCCCCCCCCACTCCCCCCGTGTTTAACTGCCGAGTTGGTACAGTCCCATTGACCCCCCCACTCCCCCCGTGTTTAACTGCCGAGTTGGTACAGTCCCATTGACCCCCCCCACTCCCCCCGTGTTTAACTGCCGAGTTGGTACAGTCCCATTGACCCCCCCCCACTCCCCCCGTGTTTGACTGCCGAGTTGGTACAGTCCCAATGTCCCCCCCACTCCCCCCGTGGTTGACTGCCGAGTTGGTACAGTCCCAATGCCCCCCCCACTCCCCCCGTGTTTAACTGCCGAGTTGGTACAGTCCCATTGCCCCCCCCCACTTCCCCCGTGTTTAACTGCCGAGTTGGTACAGTCCCATTGACCCCCCACTCCCCCCGTGTTTAACTGCCGAGTTGGTACAGTCCCATTGACCCCCCCACTCCCCCCGTGTTTAACTGCTGAGTTGGTACAGTCCCATTGACCCCCCCACTCCCCCCGTGTTTGACTGCTGAGTTGGTACAGTCCCATTGACTCCCCCACTCCCCCCGTGTTTGACTGCCGAGTTGGTACAGTCCCAATGCCCCCCCCCACTCCCCCCGTGTTTGACTGCCGAGTTGGTACAGTCCCAATGCCCCCCCCACTCCCCCCGTGTTTAACTGCCGAGTTGGTACAGTCCCATTGCCCCCCGCCCCCCCACTCCCCCCGTGTTTAACTGCCGAGTTGGTACAGTCCCATTGACCCCCCCACTCCCCCCGTGTTTAACTGCCGAGTTGGTACAGTCCCATTGACCCCCCCCACTCCCCCCGTGTTTGGCTGCCGAGTTGGTCCAGTCCCAATGCCCCCCCCACTCCCCCCGTGGTTGACTGCCGAGTTGGTACAGTCCCAATGCCCCCCCCACTCCCCCCGTGTTTAACTGCCGAGTTGGTACAGTCCCCTTGCCCCCCCC